ATATTTTAACTATATAAAAATGCAAATATTTTGAATAATAATAATAACTAAAAATAACTAAATAATGTTTAATAAAATCTATACTAAAAATCTACTTTGTAACAATATCCAAATATAAAAAACTTATACAATCACTACCTACATCTAACAAAAGAAATTGTTATAATTACTGGTAATATGGTATACTTTACTTAACCTAATCAAGGCTTACAAGCTCAACATTCAATTAGAAAAGATCACAGCACATAGTGACAATGCCTTTAACAACCTAGCTGATAGATTAGCAAAAAGTGCTAACTATTTAACTATACTTCAGTTTATAAACAACAATATATATAATCTATCATATCAAATTCAATACAAACAATATATATTTGAATAACCAACTCACAGATCTATTAAAAACATATGCAATGTCCATATTATTGCAATGTGGTCATCTCAACATCGAATAGACAACATAATACCCATATTGTCTCAAATTAACTAGAATGCAACCTGGTTATATTTAAACAACAATTACAAAAGATCAACTACCTATACCAACTTCAAACTATGTCAGCAAAAAACTTTTAAAATTAAGCTCATGCTTAACACACTTTCTACTCTAATATATCAATATACATTATATCTATTACTAATTCTAACAAACAACTGTATAATATGTAATTCAAGAGAAAATCAAGAATACTAGCTTATTAGTCCAAATATATCTAAACTAAATACACTCATCACCAACACTATACAACAATTTTTGCAACAATTCAGACTAGATATCACTAATACAGTCCCAGATATTACCAAATATGGTAATTGATCAACAAAGTATTGAAGAATTTTTTAGACTAAATTCCTATATATTAAAGATTTGCGCAAGTTACTATATATAAAAATTTTTTTTTTTTTTACAAAGATACAAAAAAAAATAGCTTGCTATATTATTTTCAACATGTAGTTTAAGAATCCGCACTGATCTCGCAACTTTTAGTAAGGTGGTTGCTTCATAACTTAACAAAAAAAATAAGTGTATTTTTACTAAGTTATATTTAAGAATGCCAGAGATCTGTATAGTAAAAAATTTAAGTATAAAAGAAAATTACCATAAACGCATAGTTTAAAGATCTGACCAATCAATTTTATGATTATAAAATGGTTAAATCTTACTAAACAACAAAATGAGGATATGTCTATATAGTAATTCATATAGATAATTCTATATCTTTACTTCATTACACAATTTTCTAATATTATAATTTTTTTTTTTTTAAATTTCAAGAACAAAATATTTCAGTATTTAGGTGGTATTCAAAATAATAATACCAGCAGATAATAGTTTTGGATTTTTTAAGATGTAGGTGCATCCAAGGATAAGAAGGCATATTTGAATTTTACTGGAAACTGAATTTCTAGATGCAGTCAAGAATAAAAGAAGATCACTTAGATAGCATTTAAAATATGCTGAACATAGTTATTATAGAAATGCAGTTAGCAATATGAATGGTATTTCAAATCTGCCAAGAGGCAATAATCTTAGATTTTGCTACAATAAATATATTAATTTTAGACAATTTCATTTTCAGACACTTGAAGTTGCAACTTCAAGCAAGTGCTAACACGGTATACATGTTGTGCCTCAGACTAATGTTTGCCTCAGATCATGGCTGATGTACCTCAGGTGCAGATTGTCAGGTGAGGTGGGTAACCCTAAACTGCAATCTGACAAAAGAGAGCAAGATCTTTTACTTTGTTACTTTTTTATTCTTGGTTTCTTAGATCTCTTGATGTTTTTCTTACTTATATAATTTTTTTGTGCTTATTGACCAATCGATAGGTTACACATCTCACTTAACAATTTATATCTTAGATGCGTTAGCTGTGATCTAAGTCAAGTGTTAGTCTGAAGCATAATATATACACAACTAAAGGTATTTAATCTATTATATGAATAGTATTTAAGTTATTAAATTTACTTTATACTAAAAATTGTAATATTTTTTTTTTAGGTTGGTGATTTTAAATCTGTTAAAGAGGCAACAAGCTTAGATTTTGCTATAATAAAGGTATATGTGTTGTGTTTTAAATTAGCATTTGCTTGAAGTTACAACTTCAAAAGCTTGAAACTGCTCTGCACGAAATTAGCACTGAATTAAATCTTGTATGTGTTAGTAATTTTAGGCAGTTTTAACTTCAGGCACTTGAAGTTGCAACTTCAAGTAGGTGCTAACTTTAAGCATGACATATGTATGGCTAAAGGTATTTAATTTATATTGTATTATATGAATAGTATTTAACTTCAGACAATTTATTTTATATTAAAATTATAATATTGTTTGTCACAGCTAATGCTGAAATCTAGGGCCTCGATTGAAATATAAGCTCTGCTAAGATCCACATATACTCTTTAATTATCAATTCTATTCCTAAATCCTAACTCAACTCTAAAAAAAAAGCAGGAAAAAACACCCTAAAAATTTTTTAAAAATTTATGACTAAATAGGTCTGATTTTCAGCATCAGCCGCAACATTATTTTTAGGTTGATGATTTCAAATTTGCTAAGGAAATAACAATCTTAGATTTTGCTACAACAAAGGCATATGTGTTATGTTTGAAGTTAGCATCCACTTGAAGTTGCATTAAATAGTATTCATTAGGCATTTTCAACTTCAGGGCTTGATGTTGCAACTTAAAGCAGATGCTAACTTCAAGCATGACATAGGCACGGCTAAAAGTATTTAATTTATACAGTATGAATGGTATTTAACTTTACTAAACTAAAAATTGAAAATTTATTTTCAGATCATACAAACTTATATTTTGGTTTCATATCCTGGCCAGATCAGCAAAGCAAAAATTCAAAATTTTTATTTTTTTTACAGCTGTTATCATTATTTCTGGAACACCTTGTGAGAAATTAACTGAATGATTATTCTGCCGATTCGATAGGTTATTGATTTCAGTATGATCAATATAATGTTTATTATTTACAAGGATGGTCTAAAGCTAGGTACGTATATACATAAATTCTAATCGATTTGTAAGGCTTAAATGACCTCTATTTATATTGCAGCGGTGACAATTATTTATCAATAATGATTAGATAACCAATATTGATATAACTTTAGTTAAGTATTATACTTTAGAAGCATATTCACTAGAAAATGAGTTGTAAATTCGAACAACTGCTAAACACTTAGGTGTTAGCATTCTTTAATCTGTCAAGTTTTTAACCAATTTCGAATATATAGGTGTGTTGAAAGATTTCTTCCACTTGTAAGAAAATTACGTTTATTAAACCTAAATGATACAAAATATCTTAAGATTTTAATAGAAGAAAAGCCAAACTGATCATTTTGAGTTACAATTTGAAATGGAACTTTAGTTAGAACATGAAAGTAGAGGTCATGTAGGTTCATGTGAATTTTAATTTACAAATTAATTAGTATCTTCATTATACCAAGCTTTAGACTAACTTTGTAACTAATAAACATTACTTTAATTATGTTGAAATCAATAGTTTATCGAATTGGCAGAACATCATTCAGTTAATTTTCATAAGGTGTTCCAGGAATAATGATAACAGCTATAATATATTTATTAATAAAAATTCTCAATGCATATTATATAACAAAAACAAATTAAATTGTTGAGTTTTTGTGAAATAATGATATTGATCTGTTGTTATTGTAATATAAATACTGCCTAAATGCTAATTTATTTTTCTACTCTCAATATACTTTATTAAATATAAAAATTTATTAAAAAAATATCATAGTCTATTATTTATATTTAAATAATTAAGAAATTGTCAAATAAAACATTATTTATAATATAAAATGAAAGACTTAATAATGAGTAAAATTATACTATTAGAGTTAATAGAATATTAGAAATATAGTTTATTACTACTATAATTATAATTATAATATAAATAAAAAAATAATTTTTGTAGATATAGATGTTCTAATTTGGTATATTAATGCAGTTGTTATTTCTATATTTTAAAATGCTATATCTATTTAAATTGTTTTGAAATTTTAAATTTATTTAAGTTGGTTTTGAATCTATTTAAGTGGATCTGAAATTTACAAATTCAGAATTAACCTATAATATAAAAGAGCATGCCTAATTTGGGGACGTCTAAAGCCATGTCCAGTCATATGTTTTTGACTATTTGATAAAAATTAGGGTAAGAGTTAGTTGAGAGTTGAGGGTTGAGGTTAAGGCAATTTTTATAGTAAAATTGTTCTTCAGACATTTTTTATTAATACTTCGAGGCAGATTTAGACACTTGATTCTAGTAATACAAATCAAAATTTGAATTAATTGATTAGTTGTAAAGTTAACAACTAATCAATTTGAATTTTATAGACCTAACTTAGTCGATTAATCAATTAGTTGACTAATCGAATATTCAATTGGCCAACTAATTGATTAATCGATTAGTTGATTAGTCAATTGATTGACTAGTCGTTTGATAAGAATATCAACCGGCTATATTTTATCAAGTTTCGTTTATTATATATTCAATTAATTCAATTAATCAATTAATCGATTAGTCAATTACTCAATTAGTTGATTAATCGATTAGTCAATTAATCGATTTATTGAATAAAAACCGATTAATTGATTAGTTGGATAAAATGATCATCAACTAATTGATTAAAAAATTTTCATCAATTTGTATCACTACTCGATTTTTGTATTTCTTGCATTTTTCACTTTTTTTTGTTTTTGTCTCTTCGGGCTGATCTGTTTCGATTAAAGCAAACAACTTAATTAGCTCTGTGCCATATGATTAGACACGGCTTTAGATGACCTCCTAATTTGGCACAGTGTCTAATTTGATGCATTATGATATATCAAGAACTAATGAACAGAATTGCAATATTCTGATATCATTTGATTTGTTTCATCAAGATGAATCAAACAGTACCAAAATCATGTGATTTTGATTAATAGTTCTTGAGATACTCATATAACTAAAATAGCCCAAAGTAGATATATTTAATTTGATGCA